GAGTGTCTCCTTCCACTTCACACACATCAACCCGGCCACAAACACACTCTGACACACCGTCCCGTGCGTATCCAGATCTCTCCCATCTCCTGGAGCCTCTGAGGAGTCTTGCGCTGCCTCCTCAGCTTTATCTAGCAGCAGCTCTGAATACATCACTTCCTTTTTTATCTGTTTACCCTTTTGTTTTTTCCTGTACTTGGGCGTGTGTTGTGCTGAAAGTTAATGTGTAATCTCTAACAAAAGTGAGTGATCGTGTGCATCGATACCCCGCTGGACAGCTGCACTGTTTGGACTCGTCTGTTTGTTTTCCACTAAAATCACATCAGCAAACACGGGGACTGAGGAAGCTGACTTTTATCCCTTTTTTGTTTTGCAGAATGCTAAAAGCACATTTCCTCTGCCTGTGTTTCTCCTCTCCAGATGAGTATTTTCATGACTCACCTGTCGAACTACGGCAACGATCGACTCGGCCTGTACACGTTTGTCCACCTGGCCTCCTTCCTTCGCTCGTGGACCAACCTGAGACTCCACACGCTCCCGCCCCTACAGCTCGCACACAAGTACTTTCAGCTTTTTCCTGAACAAAGGAACCCACTCTGGCAGGTGCGACTTTGTGTGTGAACATTTCCACATCCATTGCCTGGTGTGCCTGATTCTGCACTCATTTACCACAGATAGTTTTTATTTGTAAAAATGTATTACAATGGGGTCAAAATTCATAATAAATAGTATTTATTGGTGCTTATTGAGATTTCTGGCTCTCCAAAGATATATTTGAAAAGGGGTTGTGTAGAAAGACTGTTATTGTTATCATCTTACCTGCTGTAGATAAATGTTTTTACAATCTCCGTTTGGAGATATCGAGTTTTATTCTGACTGACATGAGTTAACGACTTGTCTGAACAAGTCTTAGACTGAAGTGGATTTTGGAAACAAATGCTTTAATTTTTTTTTTCACTGTTATCAGTTTTGTATTACAGTATAGTACTTTTGCAGAAATATTAATATTCCTGCAGAAATTTCCCAGGCTTCACAGGAAGTGCTGCAGCTAGCTGCTGCTACTCAATGTGCTTGGAAATAAAACCATCCATGCTCTGAATGTCCGCCTATCTTCATTTAAAAGTGTCCTTCGGTAGATGACATCATAAGCATGTGGGCGGGTGCCAAGGTGGGCACAAAGCAGGCTGAGGCAGGTACACTGTGGGTGAAAGTGGGCGACATAAAAATGCTGTGCACAGAAAAACAGACCAGTTTGAAAAACTGTCTGCTCAAAGATGGCCAACCGCTTCAATGGTGGCTTAGTCGCAAACACAGAAGTAAATTCCTCTATTTTCTTGCAAATTTATTACATCTTTATTTCCAGCTAGTCTATAACAATCTTAAGATACTACCTAAGTTTTAAACTAAGGTTTATATTGACAGCATTTGTGTCAACTGCAGTGAAGTTTTGGAAAACGAAGCTGTTTTAATAGACGCTTCCTTGTTCAGACTAGCCGTTAGCTAACCTTTCCATAGAACTCCACCTCGATTGTCCAAACTGTTCCTTTAGCTTTCTGCACAACACAAAAGGGAACAGATTTGACTTTTTTTATTTTTACTTCCTTGTATTCTTATTTGAACGTCTTATATAGTTTGTAGAGTCTTCAAAGCCTTTTCAGGCTCTGAGCTGTATTTGTGACACAAATCTTAGTCTTTGATTTTTCTAGTGGCTCCTTAATGGTACACATTTCTAAGCTCACTCTTTGTCTGCATGTACACAATTTCTTTAACCTCTATTCCCTCTTTTTTTTACATCTTTGTAGAACCCATGTGACGACAAACGGCACAAAGACATCTGGTCTAAAGAGAAAACCTGTGACAGGTTACCCAAATTCCTTGTTGTTGGGCCACAGAAAACAGGCAAGATATAGACACATGGACACACTCTGACATGAACGCACAACACAGACTCTCTCTGTGTGCACAGGTGTCTGCTTCAGAGCCTTTTCATGTAATCCCCATTGCTCCTTTACCTCTGTCAGGAGACAAAGGAGGAGGCTCCTTTCTTTCTTCCACCCACATGCCTTCTACTTTAGAAAGCACTGAGATGCCAGTGTCTCCATCTTTTTTTACGCTTTAGCTCTGTCTCCATCAAAGAGACTGAAATAGAGAAGCTTATTAAAAATGTGTATACATTACTGGAGTCCTGAGTATCTCCCCCACCCCCCAGTGTCATTTCTCGTATCCTAATTGCCGGCTTCTTCCGGGGGAAGAGGTGAGGAGGTGAGGTAAAACTGCTAATTAACGGGGTGATGATCTCCCAAATGGAAGGAGAGGTCAAGGCGGCAACATCAGCAGCCCAACAACAATTAGATTGCTCTAAAATGTCATTTTATTAGAGGGTATGTCAGGGATGGTGTAAGGGGAGCTGCTGTGGGGTGGGTGGGGGTTGTGGGGGGCGGCGGCGAGGCAGAGGGCAGGACCAGAGCTGCTTGGCTGATTGGTGTCGAATGGTTTTAAATCATTTGAAAGGAGAGGCCTATGATCTTTGTGCACACACACGCAAAATCCCACACACACTTAGTAAATCCGCAGTCACTATAAATCTAGGAAAGGGAATATTATCCAGTATGGATCAGTAGAAGAGAGCCCCCACCACCCACACACACACACACACTGCTCTCTGCTGAGCTGAACTAACGAGCCCAGTTATGAATTATGCCCTTTCTTCCAGGAACGACGGCACTTTATCTCTTCCTGCTCATGCATCCCTCCATCTCCAGTAACTTCCCCAGCCCAAAGACGTTTGAGGAGGTCCAGTTCTTCAACACCAACAACTACCAAAAGGGAATTGACTGGTGATGACACACAGATAGACACTCGTCTTCTCTCGTTCTTTATTTTTTTTAATTACTTGTGTCTATGGTGAAACTAAAAAGTACCAGTAATGTGAGGTTGTTATAGGCTGCAGTGTATCGTCCCACAGGCTTCCTGTGATACGCTGCGTAGTTCAAATGGCTCAACACCATCTTCAAATTGACGTTTTAATCCTGCAGATGTAATCCAACAGATGTATGGCTGCTTTGATTGACCCATAAATGGGTTATTTAGCTGACAGACACAGCTGGTGCCCTCTCCAAAGTGTTCTGTACAGACTTGACTCTTTGCTGCGTATTGTTTAAGCAGAATCATTAAGTTTATGTCGAGCTACTTCGAGCACAGAATTCCAGGAGTTTGCATCTTTTAAGGAACTGAGTTTGACTTTGAAGACGTGCCCAGCGCTGCGGTCGTGTTGAGTATGTGTCCGGTTCGTCTCAGGTACATGGAGTTTTTCCCCGTGCCCTCCAACGTTAGCACAGACTTCATGTTTGAGAAGAGCGCCAACTACTTTCCCTCAGAGGAGACCCCACGGCGGACCGCTGCCCTGCTGCCCAAGGCCAAGGTCATCACCCTGCTCATCAACCCGTCTGACAGGGCCTACAGCTGGTACCAGGTAAACAATGAGCACAAACTCACACAGAACACATCTGCACAGGTGTTTTAACTCTCCACTGCTCGCTGCTTCATCACAAACTGTGCTGCATCTGTCTTCATGTGCAGGAAGTTCTTCAGCCATGACTGAAGCTCCTTTCTGATACACAGAGTCTGAATAAGTCTGTGCTTTGTTTGTCTTTATGCATCTCATGATGGAAAATCCATCCATCCATCCATCCATCCATCTATCCATCCATCCATCCATCTATCCATCCATCCATCCATCCATGCATCTATTATATTTATCCACTTCTTCCTTTTTGGGTTGTGGGGGCCACTGGTACCCTTGTCCAGTAGTCACTGTGTGAGAGTTGGGGAACACCCTGGACAGGTCTCCAGTCCATCACAGGGACACGTAGAGACAAACGAAACAAACAACCATTCACTCTCTCACTCACACCTAGGGACAATTTAGAGTTACCAATCAGTCTAACATTCATGTTTTTGGTCTGTGGGAGGAAACTGGAGTACCCGGAGTAAACCCACTAATGCACAGAGAGAACATGCAAACTCCACCCAGAAAGGGCCTTGGCCAGGATTTGAACGGGCGACCTTCTCCCTGAGAGGCAGCAGTTCTACCAACCGATCCCCATGCCGCCCTGTGGAAAATACACTAAACAAAAATTTTAACGCAATGCTTTTGTTTTTTGTTTTTTTTTTGCTCCCATTTTTCATGAGCTGAACTCAAAAATCTAAAACTTTTTTAAAGTACACAAAAGGCCTTTTTCTCTCAAATACTGTTCACAAATGTGTGTAAATCTGTGTTAGTGAGCACTTCTCCTTTGCAGAGACGGTGCATCCACCTCGCAGGTGTGGCAGATCAAGATGTTGATTAGACAGCATGATTATTGAACAGGTGTGCCTTAGGCTGACCACAATAAAAGGCCACTCTAAAATGTGCAGTTTTATCACATTGCACAATGCTACAGATCTGACTGTCAGCTAAAACTTGTTTATTTATCACCAACAACAATAAACAACAACAACATGGAAGGTTTAATGTTCTGTTGTTGTCCAGAAAAACATCAAAAATCTCTCCTATCCAGAGTGTGTGCTTTGAAGATCAATCAGTTGTTGTGCACCTTTTTCAGCATCAAAGAGCTCACGAGGACCGTGCAGCCCTGCAGTTCACCTTCTATGATGTCATCAGTGCAGGAAGGGGGGCGCCTGCAGAGCTGCGCTCCCTGCAGAGCCGCTGTCTCACGCCTGGGCTGTATTCTACACACCTCGACAGGTGGTTGATGTACTACCCTCCCAACCAGGTAGTTACAACACAGTCACAAACCAACAGACGTGCACATCTGGGCAACACCCTTGCAGAAGACATCAAACTCTGTATTGTATTCTGCTGCAACTTCATTCCCCCTTAAGTAAAATTACCGTTTTGCATTTGTTTGTCTGCGTCTCTGTGCAGGTGATGATCATCGACGGCCATCAGCTCCGAAGCGACCCTGCAACTGTGATGGATGAAGTGCAGAAGTTCCTGGGTGTCACTCCTCACTACAACTACTCCCAGACCCTCACGTAAGTGTCCACTGCTGCGTGTCACATTGCACACACGCTGGAATAAATGTTACTGAGATAAAATCTGCAACATCCTCACTATTCCAAACCTGTGAAGAGCCTGACATCTGCTGGTAATCAGAGCTGCTCACACGATCGTCTCACACTGACAGGGTTCATCTGCAGCCTTGAAAAGTCTGGAGTTTACACTTGGGATTTTCCAGGTCTGGATCAGAATGGATAAAGAAAAATAGAGAATGACATTTATTTTTATTTTTTTTTATTTTCTAAGACATACTATTTTGAATTTTGGAGCTATAAAAGATCAAACTAATAAAGTCATTTTTATGTTTGCATTATAAAGGATGTGCATCTTAAAAATTCTCCTCATAATAAAACACTTTGAGGGCTCAGGGATGTTTAAATATGTCATAAATAAGTCCAAACCATTTGACAAACATTAAAACATGTTGTGCTTTTCTTGTTTTACTCTGAATAAGTTTTGCAAAATAAACCTCAGCTTATAATAAAGAAGTTCTAAACCTTGTGATTAACAACATAAACGTTTCTCTGCTATCGTTTAGTTTGGTCTGAACTGTACATTTACAGAAAGGTTTGACAAAAACAAAATAAAAATCATCAACAACAACAAAAAAAAGCATTGATTTGAAATTAGAAAAGGCTTGAAATAAATAAAAAATAGGTTAGAAAACAAAATATGCTGTTAAAGCCTTTAAAAAGCCCAACACAGTTTCACATCAGACAGTTTTCATCATCACGGTAAAAGAAAAATAAATGTACATCAAGCTTCTGTTATGTATAAACATATAAAAATTAACCAGTTTTAAAGAAAAAAACTGTTTAATGTTAAATTTTAAACAAAAAGACCCAATTTGCCCATATTTTGGCAAATTTAAAATCTAATGTATTGTTTACATTTTTTACTGAGAGCAGAATAAAAACTACTTTTACTACTTTAATCTCAAATCTTTGCTGTTGTTTCACAATGTTAATGCTCATTTAAAATGTTTTTTTGGGGGCAATTAAGTTCAAAACTCAGATTAGTTTTGTCACAAGTGAGCAGGACTTGCGACCCATCCAGGGTGTACCCCGCCCCTCGCACAGTGATCGCTGGACATGGGCACCGGCGACCCCCGTGACCCAAAATGGAACAAGCGGGTAAAGATGATGGATGGATGGATGGACGGACAAGTGAGCAGGAGGAATTAAATGCCGGACACACGAGGCAAAGTGTGAAAAAGACACATGGTTTTAGAGGCACAACCATGAAACATCACATTTTTCAAATGAAAATGACTCTTTCCTTCTCGGCTCTCGCTCTATCAGAGGTGATGCATGTGACCTGTAGAGTTTGTGGTTTGTAAGAAGGGAAACTGTTTATTTCTCAAGCACCTCTCATCAGAATGCAATCAGCCTGCAAACCCTCCAGCATCAAGACAGTGACATCGACAATTTGTGCCTCAGCCTGAAAGCACAAACCTACATGCATACAAATAATTTGTAAAGAAATCCATTTTGATGGAATAATGAGTGCACTCTGAATGTGCTCGAGTGTTTTCATTTGTGGCTGGTCTGACCTACACAAAGCCCTCCTTTTAGTTTTATTTATTTCTTTTAATCATTTCTGTTTTGACATGGCATTAGACAGATTATTCCTATTTATTTATTCCCTTATTTTCTCATTCTATAACAAATGAGGACTGCTGTCAGTGGTCATAATGTTATGCTGAAGGACAAGGTGCACCCCTGTTTCAAGAAAGTGGCACTGTTCTGTAAAATGTAAAGAAAAAAAAGAATGTGATGACTTTCAAATCTCATAAACTTCTATTTTATTCACTGTGAAAAATAATAATCATAACAAAAGTTTAAACTAATAATAAATAATAGCGATAAATTTAATGACAGCAACACATCTCATAAAAGATAGAGCAAAGGCAACAAAAGCCTGTAAAAGTCAGTGGTACAATGAATGAATGAATAAATACATCACTGAGGCGTGTAAAATAATGTAACAGAGTTGTTAAACACAGTTTCCTGTTAAGTTTTGTAGAAATAAACCATTTATTATATTTTACATAGCATTTGTTGGCAAAATAGAACATTTTTGAAGGGTAACAATTTTTAAAGACGTATAAAAGATATTTGACGTACTTCTTTTCAGGTCTCTCTTGTAAATGAGTCCCCGAGGCTCAGTGGGATTAACCTGTATAAATATAAATAAAGGTTGAATGAACACAGGAAAAAAAAATGCTGGGGGAGCATTTTGAAATAAATTAGGTTAATTAAAACCAGGTCATTAAGAGGACTTGGAATAAAAATCATTTTAAATTAGAGGTGGGCAGAGAAAAATTGGACAATTTCAGAATATTGTCCCAAAATATAAAATTAGACATACTTCTAATAATCCATCATATACAGGTCATAATATCACAAATACATTAAAAGAATCTGGAAAAGTCTTTGTGGCTGATAGTTAATATTGAATACGGGTATACAAACCATACAGGTCTGTCTTGTAAATGAGTCCTCGAGGCTCAGTGAGACTAACCTGTATATAAAAAGGCTGAATTGAATTGAACTGAAGAGTTGTATTTAACCTTTAGGCAGTGCTGCAGTAAAAACAGGTCTGATTCAGTTATAGACACGATTATGCTTATGAGCACTTCCACTAATCATCTGTCAACACAGTTCACTATGTTTTCCACAAATGCTGCTTAAAGCTCTATCACACAAATAAAAAGTTCCATCCAGAAACACTGGTGTCCTCTCTGGGCCAGAGCTGTTTTATAAAGGACGTAAGCAAAGTGAAGAACTGTTGTGTTCTTTCTGGAAACCATGTCCTTCATACTAAACAGCAGAGGGTCTGTTATCAGCACACGGTTCAAAGGCCTGCTTCTCTAATGGCATAGGGGTGCATTAGTGCTGATATCATGAGCCTCTTCCTAACAGGTAAGGACACATTAATGCAAAAAATGTATACAGATTTTAGAACATTTAATCCCAACCAGAGATTTTTTTTCAGGGAAAATCTTGCAAATTTCATTTAGACAATGGTAAACCCCAGACTGCATCCATTACAACCACATGACATTTAATATGTCATATGTTTATTATGATCCACTGTGAGTAAAATCCAATAAAGGAATTATTGCATTTTGGTTTTATTCACATTTTAAGTGTTCCAGCTGTTAGAGTTAGCATCTGTCCCAGCAGTTGGAGTTTTAAAACTTAAACCAAGTTTCTGTGGATAGCTATATTTGTGCAAATATAAAAAAGTGCACATCCAAATAAAGCAAGGACTCACAGCCAAACCTATTATTGATGTGTTGCTACATATATTAATTTATGTATCAGCATGTGCAGTTATTTGCAGAGGCATCAGCTCTCTGCCTGCGACAGGTTGTCTTATTGTGTGCTCAGAGAGAGTGAAACGCTCTCTGCTTCTCAGATCAAGATTTGAAAGTCACAAGCGTTGCTCTTACAGCCGCAAAGGGAGCATTATGCAAAACTCACACTTATTAAAAAATGTCTTCTTTACCTTTGTGTATATTTTCTCACATTTGTGGCATGAAATGTGATTTTTATTTTAGACCAAGCACCCTGGAGACATGTCTTCTTCTAATGCGTGCTCTTGTACATGAGACCTTATATATGTGTGTGTATGTATGTGTATGTACATATATACATATATACATACATATATACATATATATATACATATATACATATATATATATATACATATATACATATATATACATATATATATATATATATACATATATATATACATATATATAT